ACACACACACTTGTTTTGCAGCCTTTTTAATCCCCCGGTGCCTGGGATACCATTGTCCTTGTTACAGCTGATGTTCACGTACTATTAAAAAACGTGTTCTAGAAGAGCAGGACTAAACTCCTGGTTTATTCATATGTGATTTTCATTTTTTCATATTTGCAGCCTCACATAATCATTCATATGACTATTTTTGGTACGGGTGGGCATCGCAGTCACAGCCTCTCAAGAACAGCAACTTTGTCATAGCCATTTATGCTAGAGTCTTACAATTTATGAAGAAACATGATTTTCACTAGGAATTATATTCCATTTCAGTAGGAATTATATTCAATGGTTAGGCATGCACCAGCATTGTAAAAAGTATACTTCCAGGTAATTTGGCTGACATCATGCCAAAAACCAAGGTAAAAAGAGGGGGGGAAAAAAAAAAAAAAAAAAAAAAAAAATCAGTGGCAGAGTTGCTAAGCCAGTTTCACTGACTTCCCTGTTCTAATCCCTGGGAAAATACTTCCTCCCAGAAAAGATGTTATGTGGGTGTGCTTGAAAACATCTAAGACTCTCAAGGAACACATTCTTTTTGTGGTATACACTGAAACCTTTCTAAAAGCAATGAAAGACAGTTTCACAGCCACCTATCCAAATTTAAATGGAAAACAGAACAAACAGATGAAGGCCAAGTTATCTTGGGTTTCAGAGACTGTCATTTTAAAACAGGACAAGACGACAACATCTCCCCTTTATTGTACTGTACCAGTCATCTCCTGCTGGTTTCCTGCTAACAGAGTTCTCCCCCCTGTCCTGCCAGGGCCATTACATTAGTCACACATCATTTTCCTTAGATCCTGGGCCCCCAGAACAAAAATACAGAATGCAATACATTCATTTACAAGAAAGGCCTTACTGTTCTCTTTCATTTTGCGTAAAGGCCTAACTGATCATTTACCCCACTTTCATTAGAGAAAAGCAAGAGGTTTTTAGTCTAGCATGTCATTCACAGCATTTGGTGAGTCTCTGAAAAACACTTTTTGGTCAAGAATTATACAGAAATTTTATATGGAACCTGCTTTGTTGTTTGGTTGGGTTTTTTTTAATGGAAAAAACCCAACAAACCCTTAAAATGCAGCATTAGGGTCAAAGCTTGCACTGGTTTTCAAGCACCTTTAGAAACTCTATCAGCTATAGTACATAGCTGCATCCTTTTCAAAGAATCATGGTTCATACTGGTACAAGACAGTACTTAATCAATGAATTGCACTGTTAAATAAAAAAGTAAAACCAAGGGTACTGCAGTTTTTATGGCAGTTTTAACACTATGGGAAATAAAACCTGACTAATTTCTAAAATTAAATACTTTATATGCCCCTTGGGAAAGTTTATCCAAATATGTGGAATTGTACAGCATACACATAGCACCTCAGGATTCTACACAGCACTGACTAACCACTATAAAATTATATCTTAGCATACATGGCTACCAGTAAGTCCTGAAGTGAAGCCAAGAACAACTCAACATGCCAGGTATATATTCTGATATGACAGGCTCTCCTGCTCCAGATCAAACCACATTGAGAAAGCAGTGTTCTCAGTGTCATAGGTCTGCCTCCCTTGAACTTGGGAGTGAAAAAGGGAAGGGGGATTTGCAAGGCCAACCTCAGAAACCAGAGGGATGCCAAGGTGCAGAAACCTACAGTTTAATAACTGGCAGTCATAGACAGACCACTGGCATCTGTACTCCATTAGGACTAACAGGCTCCAGGACTCAACTTCTAGAAATAAATACATACACACACTCTCTCTTTGTAAATATATATATTTTCATAGCCATGTGTTTCTAAAATGAGCATCAGTTTCCAAATAACTCTCCTTTTCAACAGAGTATTTTTTAAAAACACTAAAGAACACTGTACAGAAAAGGGCAAAGGGCAACAGAAAAAAAAAAAACCCACACCACCAAAATGACTGATGTAAATGGTGTGTGAAAAAACATGACAGACAAGTAAAGGCAGCAAGGAAAATACCATTGATAGATGGAGGCAAGGTAAGAAGTGAGCCTGGTACCTAGCAACAAAGTGATATACAGAGATTTGCTGCTAGGATTTCCAGAATTCTGAATCTAACTCCATAAAATGCAGTAGAAGAGTGTTGAATTATTCAAGTAGAAAATATAAGATAAACAACATTAAATGGAACAGAAGTTTGGAATGTCTAGAATTCAACTGGCACCCAGAAATCATACTTACATTATTCTTCTGGCAAATAATTTCCTGGAATAAAAAAGAAAAAAAAAATAATGTTGATAGCACTGAACAACTACTAGGAAAGATATCTGATCAGTATGATCTGCTAATATGAACATTTACAGACACACGACAGGCTGGTTGGTAGACGTTTTCTATACAGGTCAAATCAATATAAATCAAGTATTGTCTCAGGAGAGACAAAATTACTATGGAATCAAGTAGATACATACATTTTATCTATACACAGAAGCATATGTACTGTATGCATCTGTATAACCTATATATATGTATATAACATGTACATACCCCTCCCTATATAAATTTTCCTAGAGGGCTGCTGTCCAAAGGTTGACTATTAATACACATCTACTTATATTTGAAAAGTTAAATATAGTAAGTAACATTTTGCTGCCAGCAGAAGAAACTGTGAAGAATAGCAAGAGAAGTATTTCTGTGAAGTTTTAAAATATTCCAAAACTGGTTGAAATTAATATTGCTCTAATAAGTCTGATGCAAAGAACGTATCTTCACATTTTAAATATAAAGTTTCAGAGAACAAGGAGTACACATGGATGGAATGAGCTGGTTCTTGCACACTGATCCTCATGGTACAGCAAGAATGTGAACCACTTGTGAAGTGTGACCTCGCTTTCAGGCAGATTTGTCATCAAGTTCTGAACCCAGTAACTGATAACCCTGCCAGATTTATCAGACGTGCTACACCTCTGCCACTGTGACCGCTGAGCAGCTTCACCTACACCACAGCATTAAAAACAGAGTGCCAAACCAAGGCGCCTCGGACTTTCCATGTTGCATAAGTCAGGCTTCCGTAAAACTGCTCTTCCCCCTGTTTAGAGGGCATATTTTACAGGACTCTTCTTGCTAGCTTTCAAAGCATGGGACATAAATATCTAATCAAACCCCCTGTCATGGGCAGGGACATCTTTCACTAGACCAGGTTGCTCAAAGCCCTGTCCAGCATGACCTGAATCTTCACATACAGGAACATTCCACCAGCAAGAATTTACCTACATTGCTTTGTACTCCACTTAAATCACATACTGCAGTTGTGTATTTCTTACATTTTCATGATCATGTTCAGTTTTTTAATTCACTACCTTCTATACAAGGTTAAAACTGCACACACACTCCTGCATTGCTTCTACTCTATCTACTGGCTGTAACAAATACAGGAACAAACATTGCCTCAGAAAATGCCCAGGCATGCCTGTATCTACTTTTTATAGGCAGTTACTAAATTCCATGGAAAGGGTCTTGCTCTCTGATAACTTTCTTGCAAACAATCAAAAGCAGAAACATGGGCCTCATTCAAAGCTAAAGGAAACCAAAGAGAGTCTTTCAGTGAGCACTGTACTATGTCAACTGGGCCATCCAAGTCTCCCTGCACAGAATTGGGCTTCCACTGACATCAGTGGGAACCCTGCATGTGACCCGTTTGCAAAGTCCAGCTCCTAAGCTAGTAAAAAGTTCCCCCAAGTGCCCAAGGAAGCCTGGTACCTCACTCCAAGTGATTTTCAGTGGGAGTTGGGTATTTGGCTCCTTACTCTGTACAACAAAATTCTGCTTTGCTTATACTGTAGATCACTGTATTTGCAAAATTGAGTTCAATCCACAGATAGGTCTTTTGTCATTTGCAGTTTTCTTTTTAGGACTTTCCTCTGTATACTCTGCGTTGCAAAAAGAAAGGAAATAATTGGATTGCAACCAGTTCAGTTGGCCAAGAGCAGGGGGAAGAAACTGAGTTACTCAAGGTATGTCCCTCCCAATAGAGGGCCAAGCTGCAAATAACAGGACAGAATCAAAACCAAATATCCTACACTAGCCAGAAGCAGTGGAAGCAAATCCTTCAGGAGAGGCAGCAGCACCCAGATTGCAGTCTGACTCACCAAGATGCTTACTAAAATGCTACTTTTCAGCAATGCCTAGAATGGAAGTGCAATAGCATAAACCACCTCCTGATCAGAGCCAATGAATCTGAGGGAGGGGAAGTAACTGAAAAGACTGCCATCCAAGTTGTCTACCCTCCCCCATCCCCAAGAAGTTAAATCTTTAGTAGAGTTAGCAGGAAGAAGCAAGTATCAGCTCCTTGCCTGACACAATTTGGACCCATAGATTATCTTAAACCACCATCTTGCCTTAAACCAACCCACTGTACTGTGAACTGCGTCCCTGAGAACTAGGCACAAGTTTTGTTCTTACTACCTCTGCTAAGCTGCTGGTAATCTCCAGCACAGCAATCCTGCAGGTACCTGATATAAACAGCTGTAACTCAGCGAGACATACCAGAGGCCACCTGGGGCCCCATCAGGTTTGGCCAGATAACTGCTACTTTACACAGGAGTTAAAAATTAAGAATTATTTTGCTGCTCCACACATGCTACCATTCTCAACCATAATTGTTATTATTATAACAATTTACCCCAAACACCAGTAATTCCGTTGAATGACAAAACCATGTATTTCATTTCTCATCTGAAATTTGTCAAACTTCTGTATCCATAAAGAGCCATTTAACACCTAGGTATTTAACTGGCTGTGATAAAAGTAATCTAAATCTACCTCTTGGGAAAAATAATTGAGTTTTTCAGCATTTCACTGCGGCCATGCCTCAGAATATTTTTGCTATTCTTCTGTGAACCACAAGTGGCATCTGTATTTCCTATGGAAACTGACAGCTCCTTTCAAGAATTGGAACAACCTTCCCTCCCAAAAACACCCCATTTTTCCATTCAGATTTACCTTCAGTGACTGCAGAGACTCTGCATTTGTATCACAGTAGAGGATAATGTTGTTAGCCATGCTGAAGCTCTCCCTGACTCCCAGGTGGTAGAACAGGGAAGGCTGACGGAAGGCATCACTCATCTCTACAACAGCAATATCTGCAGAAAGAAATGAAAAATTCATTGTCAATGCCACACATTTCTTACAGTCAAATACTTCTAGGCTGTGCCTCTTCACACAATTTGCTTTGATAAGAAGATCTGATTTTAAGTAGGCAATAAGAGATCTAGAGGGATTTCCCCATTTTAGCCATTGTGTCTTAATTTTGAATATAGTCAGCAGGATGTGGTTTAATTTTTTATCTTTTCTTTCTTCCTTCCTCCCCAACCTTCTCCCCCCCACCCCCT